TATTACATCGGATAATCAATATTCATCTGCTAGTTGTTATTAATTTTTTTTTTTACTAGCCTCTGGTTGAAAAGCTATAGATGCTAAATTAAGACCCTACACATATCTGATTCACTGCTGTTTTTCATTTTATGTATTTATAATAATATTCATATATCATAACTAATATAACGTCAAAGATACATGAGATAATTCTCTAAAATCATTATAGAATTAAGGCAGCTTAAAAACTAATCACTATTAGAATAGTTTGTTTAATTTAACACTGGAAATGGATTAAGAAAGTAATCGGGTTGAAATATGACACAACGCGATCTAACGATATGAAAATTACGAGTAATAATATATCTATATCACATAGTATTGTTTGTTTGAATCTTCCCATTGATGTTTAGGACTGTAATTGATCAGTCTCCTATTGACATATGTACATACTGTGCGTATTGCCTCGATATAGCCTTAATCCATCTTTGCTTATAATATATATTTTATTTAAACTTATTTACTCGTTTATTTGTACATGAAAACTAGGAGAAGGGTATTGAGTTTCTTTTGTTTAAACTATGTTGATCGTTCTATTTCAATCTATATAGTTATATGAAATCAGCTTATGACCACACCTTAATTAAGTTTAAAAACTTAGCTTGCTGATAAAACTATTATTTTTTGTGTGAGTTGTCTACAAAATAGTAAGAATAATTATAGGAATTAAATTCCTTCTCACAAAAATTACACATCGCTGATAAAGAATGAAACAGTTTTACCGAAAATGACATGGTGAAAAAGGAGGCTGATAGTTTATGAGTTTATGGTGTAAACTAGTGTGTATGAAATTTAAACTTCATGTGTACAGGATCGTGTGTCGAAAATGAGGTAGAATATCAACCCTAAAGGAAGGTGCTGTTAAATACATCCGGACCTTAAATCGTTTTATATTTTGCTAATCTTTGATTAGGAATTATATAAGTTAAGAAGTTTAGATGAATTAATTATGATACTTCTTGTTATCAAGATTAACTTTTGTCATTGATATTTTTAAAATTGAAAGATTTGATTCATTTCAGCATAAACGTCATTTAAAATTGTCATGGTCCTTTTGGATCACATATTTTATTGTTCGATTCTTTTGTCTTGTAGTGCCGTGCTTCGTTAATCATTCACCTCGATAACAGTTATAATGCTAATCTTAACGGTGCATAAAATCAGAAGGCAAAGAGAAGCGGTAACTACAGTTTTATTGACAAATGACGAAGGTCAGAAAGTTATAAGCACATTAGCAAATATCAGCGAGCACGCATTGGATATGGCGTGTAAGTCAACTCATTTTAATCAAGCGTTAATCAATATTTATAGTCAGATAAGAAGTTACAGACATGTGATAAATAAAGTAAAAAATTGTACACATGCGCTCATATACAAAATAGTCAGGGTTAATAAGTGAATAATTAACAAGGTCAAAACATGACATGATGGATAGGTACATTGGCTTGTCCAGAATCTAAAATAAGCTATACAGGCTTAACAAATCAACTGACACTACAATCTTATGCAATTCCTAATGTATAAGCCTCAGGAGATTTGTTCGATATCTCACTGGTTTGAACCTTAGATGAGACATCAACAGTCAGTGAAATTAATCTTCAGTCAACTAACAAACCTCAGATGAAGTAAAAGACAAATCATGAGTTTTATGGTTTGTCACATTGAAATATCTTACTCAAAATCGTCGTTAGTGAATTAAGCTAGTCACAATGAAAACACAACTAACGTTGAAAATAATTCTTGACAGATTCTAGGGATTCATGTGACCAAAAACTGTTATTTAACAAAACATGAGATGTATGTGTGTCTTATTTTCTATAAACAAACAAACACTCTACTAATTACCACTTTCACGTTTGCCTGATTCATGACAATACCTTAAAAAAAAGGTAATATATTACTCAATACTGAGTTAAAAAGTAGTCTTTTTTACTTATACTCAATAACTTATCAATTAAGATCATCAATAATTACTCATAGTTTTCAGAAGCAACACAAAGTAAGCGGTTTTCATTATCTGAACTCTTTGCTAATTAAATTCACTTAGTATTGTTTGTTTGTATCTTCCCATTGATGGTTAGGACTGCAAATGGTCAGTCTCTAATTGGCACATGTGCATACTGTGCGTATCGCCTCGATATTGCCTTAATTCACATGCATTATAAGCAAAGATGGATAGTGGCTAGCAGTGAAATCCAGGACACGCGCTTTATCCTGTTTGGGACTTATTAGCTGGATTCACTGCATTCAGAGTTGATTTTCACTTTGTATGCACACATGCCAATAACAAACTGACCAGTCGTAGTCCTAAACATCAATGGGAAGATACAAAGAAGCAATACTAAGTGAATTCAAACTTCACCCCATTGCACAAGCAAGTGGCTATCAGGACTCAGTAGCTAAGTGGATAGCGCGATGGCGTTTGAAGGGAAAGGTACTGGGTTCGAGTCCCAGGGTGAACATCAACTCTGAGATGCAGGTACATCCAGCTGACGGGTCCCAAACAGAACGAAACGCGCGTCCTGGATTCCACTGCTAGCCACTATCCATCTTTGCTAGTTGTTCACAAATATATTTATCATACTTTAGTCTTATCAAACCTACTAAAATTGATGCTAATAAGATTGTATACAAATAATTTATTATTTTCATCATAATCTTATGTCTTCTATAGAATTCGATAGTGAAAGATTAAATTATAACTTTTTTATTTGGAGACAATTCTTTCTATTACAAACATTAAAAAAATTCAAATTGAATTACATTAAAATTCCTTTAATTACAAATGTAAATATACGGTGTACTTATGTAAAAATATGATTTTCAAAAAGAAAATAGTAACCACAACAACAATTTTTTTTTGATAGTTGAGATCATGAATCGATAGAAAACCTGGTAGCACTGGACGGCCGTTTCGTCCTGTTATGGGACCCTTCAGTAGTGCGTATCCACGATCCCGCTTCGCGAGATTCGAACCCAGGACCTATCATTTTCGCGTGCGAGCGCTTAACTTATTTTGACTACAGTGGAAGTTAGATAAAATATAACTAATCTAAGGAATCAATCATAAATATGTAATAAAATATATTTCAAGAAAGTTAATTCAATCAATCAAGTATGAGAATAATTCTTTAGCGAATTGAAAACAAAAAATGAGAAATCAATCCTATTTTATAAATAAAGTTTTCAAATAGCCAATATCATAAATAGTATAGTTTGTTTTTACATTTTGCTGGAGTTTTGTTCTCTAAGCTGGATGCTTTAGTCATGTAGCTTTTATCATTCTTCTGATCGACATCATAAACACATCAATTGATTTTATTCTAGCCAGAGTCCAATTAGATATTGCTTGAAGAATTCATCACAGCACATTAAAATAACCATCTTGAAAGCAGTGAAGTACATAAATTTACATCGTTCAAATTCCATTCGATTTTCTTTTGGAATCAGTATAAATAATCAAATAACTCTTATGATAGTTGCAAAAGTGATGCAATGGCTAAAAGCAAAAATGATCTTAATTATGAAATCCAAACGTGCTTGTAAGACACACTTCAATGACACTTTTACGATTACAAAAACAAACAGTAAAATAAAGAAAACCTTATTAACAATGATGCAGAAGAACAAAATTTGGAAATCATGAATTTCAGCTGAGTTAAGATGTAAAGAAAGATAACCCGTACATCTAAAAATGAATTAGTTCTATAGTTTACAACTAACTGAATTTCGATTCTCTGTAGATCTACGAGATCAGTACTAGAAAAAAGTAAGTACTTAATACATGGACCGTCATAAATGCATATATATATATATATATATATATATAATGTATTGATGTCAGACAAATGGTTCGTATAAAACAGGTGTATGTCCAACTATTATCATGGTTTCCGAGTCATTATGATCAAACATGTAAAGTTGTTTACGATCTGATTTTGCTTAGTGACTTTGTTTTGTTACAATAAATTGGTACGCTAGACTTCATATCAATGTTTATATTATTTTTACGTAACCTCAAATTAACACATCCTATCATCTTTTATTCGACATTGAAATCATCCTGTAGATTTTATCCACTGTCACGTAGAACTTGACTGATATATATTAATTCGGTATACTAATCAAATGCTTGCTGAAAGTGATGTTACCATCTGTGAACTCAACAAGTCAGGAAAGCAACAGTTTAGTTACAAGTGAAGTTGAAATGAATACTTTATTTCTTCAAAAATTAACTGACATTGTAAACATGGATCATCTAATCCTAACTATGCTATTATGTTTTCTGTAATTTATGAAGATATTCCTATGAACAGTGATAAAGAGGTTTAAATTCTAACTAAATACTAACCCAATATTCGTATACTTTTTTTCTTGACATTGGAGTTCTACACTGAATCACTTCATTTATTAAAATCTGATTATTATTACAAACTATCTGCCTTTAATCTGATAATTAAATTATTATTATTATATTTGTAAAACTAACTATTACAGTCTATATTTGGTTCAACTAATACCTAGTTAACTGAGATCACAAAAAGACAAATGTTGGACAACTATTAAAACCAACAAGCCCTGGATAGTTCATTCTGATATGGAGCTATTCATCTGTGAGTATTCATACCTCCATGTTTCATAAAATAGCTGTCCAGCAATTTCTAGTTTTAATGATTGTCCAATGAAGGTTGACTATTAATCTCAATAACAAATGACAATGTCAACAAACCCTAATGATGAAAATGATTATTTAACTAAATTGTTTGAGTTTCGACTTTCCGTTGTATTTGCTCCATTTATTAAATAAACAAGTGTGGTGTAGGAAGAGAAACTTATTGAATGCTGATTTTAAAACTGCAAACTATAGAAGGTTAACATAGGGTTAACTACTAAAACACAGTATTAATATTATACTAAATTATTAGCATAAGATCATATCAAAATAAATATACACTTACCCAAACTAAGTACAGATACCCGAAGTCCAGTGCTGCCAAGATTTCTATTTTAATAAAATAAATACATTAATTTATAATTCAAAGATGGGTTTTTATGTGAAAATCAGTAAAAAACAAAAGGGTTTTCAATTCTGATCAATTCTTAGCTGGTACTAATATTACTTACGCCTGTTACTTCTCGTGGAGAAGCATAGGCCGCCCACCTGGATTCTCCATCAAACTGTGCTAAAGTAAAACACTGATTTTAACCGATATTTAAAAGTTAAGTATAAACCATGGCTATTTCATTGAATAGCATTTTTGCAGATTAGATTAAATGATCCATTTAAGTATACAATATATTTTTAAACTCAAAACCCTTTTTAAAATAGAATCTTGTAAAATAAATAGTATGTTAATAGTGTAATGAACGAGAACACAAGTGGAGACAATCGAGTGTATTTACAGAACATCTCATTAAAATCTGAAAACCATACAGTAAATAATTCATTTGCAAAACGTCATTCAATTTTCTCAAACTTCACTGTTCATTCTGTAAAATGTCAATCAATATTCTCAGACTTCACTGATTCTTCTTTACCATAACAATCATTTTTTGTTCTCGTTCTGTTTTCTATGATATTCATAAACTTGTGCCTCCAGGTATTTCACTTTCGATTAGTGATGCATACTACTTATATCTATCGACATAAGTAGCACACACCACAAAAGTTTCATACTGCGTTCTAACAAAGTTCATCAAGTAAACTGTTTATGTTCATTTATTAGAAAATATAATAATTAAACAGTGTTAGAAGCCTTTCAATTCAACTGAAATGTATTTGAATTGAATTATCAAATATATGTTGGACTAATGGGTTTTATAAACAGGTTTAATTCATTATCAACTAAAATATTAGATCAGTTACAATGACGAAATATTATTAATCTGTAATTAAAAATTAAAACCTGATCGCCATATATAAATATAAATATATATATATATATATATATATATATATATATATATGACAGAGGAAGTGATCAACCTAACAGTTGACTGTTAGATTTAAATAAGAAAACTTAGCTTGAATAGTTTGATTGTGTAGTTTTTGGACACAAGTTTAAATTAAAGATAATTTTAATATAAACTGACAATGACTGGAGAACCTAGAAAGAAATCAGGACTCTTGAATAGTAAATACAAAGTCACTTGTTTAAGATAGTTTATTCACAACAATAAGTGAATGTTTCATGTTTGAATCTGTGTGGGACCACCAATATGTACTGTTAGAGATTCGTAAGGTATAGTCACGATACAATCTGTTCTCTCTCATTTTAAACGGCTCACCTTATGTTATTATTCTGCATGAAGAACTATCTTTAATTCCAACTATATAAATTTCATAAAATAGGTTAAATAGCATCTAACCATTGTGAAATGATTCGTTAAAATGTAAACATAACTTCTCCTAAAATATATCTGGCATTGTAAAGGAAGCTTGTTTTAAAGAACGCATTTTCTTGTTTACATCACAAACAAATAACACCTTTTTTCAATCTCGTAAGCTTTACACAAACGTCATACAAAAAGAATCACCAGTATTTAGTGCATTTGAATATATCTATGTATCTATATCTATATCTATCTATTCATCTATCTATCTATCCATCTATCTATCTATCCATCTATCTATCTATTCATCTATCTATCTATCCAAATATATATATATATATATATATATATATATATATTGCTTCTTAATCAATCAATTATCATACAATGTCAGTTATATTATCTGAATATTAAAGAAAGAAATAAAAAACCACAATAAATCGTCTAGAATTTTGTCAGAGCTGTATAAGCATTAGTTCAAATATTACTGTAATAGAAAATAAAAAGATTTTTTTAGAGTATAAATCGATGAATAGAAAAATTAAATTTTCCATTTCTTACGTCATTATCATTTATAAATTCAATAAATTGTTTTCAAATAATCAATGCCAAAAAAGAAAAATTGGCAATGATAATTATCAACTAATTTGTTTTTTATCAGAAGGGGTTTTGTGGATATTATAGTAATTTTAGTAGTTGAGATCATTAACGGATTGAAGCTAGACCACCATGGAAAACCTGGAAGCACTGAACGACCGTTTCATGATTTCAACTATTAAAATTACTATAATATCCACAGAAACCGCTTCTGATAATAATCAACATATGCTCAGTAGTAACTGGCTCAATGAGATATTTCCTGGAGTTCTTATGAGAATCAGAGACCAGTGGAGTTCAATCAGGTCTGTTGTGAGATAGTAACTCAGTGAAGACATTCGTGGATGTGTCGCTCAATTTTGTGGATCGGCTGAAGTTACTTAATAACACCATTGAATGCCGGCCAGCTCAGTGGTCAAAAGGTTAACTGCTCGCGCGCGAAACCGTTAGATTCTAGGTTCGAATCTCGCGAGGTGCTATCATGGTGCGCACTGCTGAAGAGTCTCACAATAGGACGAAACAACTGTTCAGTGGTTCCAGGTTTTCCATGATGGTCTAGCTTCAATTGATTTATAATCTCAACAAATTTGTTTTTGTTTTCTTTCTTGAATTATGAAATTATTATTTTACAAAAAAGATCTAAATAAAATTGAAAGAAACTAATTTTTAAATGAATAAACAATTAGGTTGAATAATTCCTTGCTATTCAATTATAAATTTATTTCCAATTAAAAATTTTGGTTATAGATTTAGTTTATGTGGTTTACAAATGATTAAAGTGTGGTGTTTGCTAATGATATTGATAGATATAAATAGTATGTATCACCAAATGAAAATGAAATGCTTGATGGTAAAGGGTTAGTGTTATATCCCCTGGTGAATTATGAATGGTAAATCTGAAGTCTATTTATGGACAAATGTAATATGTCTATTTCCTATTGTATAGTTGTTAAATAACTGACTTAGTCGTATTCGTGTTCCTCTTATCGTAACCTTTATTTTGACCTTTGAACTACTACTATTGATTACTTTCCCCCTATCCACAGCCACATTGGCCAATTATTGTACAAATGTTATTTTTCTATTTTTTTGGTATATGGGGTCTGTTTGGTTAGTATATAAACCCAGTATGCTTGTGAATAATGATTCATATTGCCGAGGATGTTATTTGTGTTCTGGACTCAACTGGCTGGGCTAGGCAGATAGCAGGGCCGATACGCAATCAAGACTGCTCGTACAATTTCAAGTATCATTTGCCTCCGATCAATAAATTCATTCCTCTCCAATTGCACGTTCATATAAATTACGTCCTCACACGTTATAACAGTTAGGAAGATGGAAGAGATAAGAATGAGAACAGAAATTGATTGGTTCGAAAATGAAAGAACAGTAAAGTCTGAGACAATTGTCTAACATTTTGCAAATGAAGAATTTACTGTGTGGATCTAGGATTTTACTGAGATCCTCCGTAATACTGTGTTTAAATACATTTGGTTGTACTCGCCTGTCCTCTCGTTCACTACAATAGTAGCTTTTGATAGTTTGTATCAGGTGTTTGGAAATTTCCATTATATCAAAATATAAATATTGTGAACCGTAAGCATATTTTTTTAATAAATCTTCAACCGATAATAAACTTGAATTAATGATTACATTAGATAGTTAATATTAACGGCAAGATATCTTTTGACAGTTCAATACAATAATCTTGTATTATTCAAGACCTAATAAGAGCTGTAAAACTTGAACTCCCTTCAAACACTGAAATTAATAACCAAAAGGATTAAAATATTGGAGCAATGAATTCAAGGAAAATATTCTCAAACTAACCTTACAAACAGCCTCAGATTCAATAAATCAAGATTTATTTTAATTATATGATGATCAATGTATATATCGTTTTTACCCCCTTATTTATCAAAACATAAATTTTTCTGACCAAATTATTATCATCCAACCCTGATATGTTTAATGAATCAATTGAAATATGATTGAATATCTGTCATGGTGAATAGTTATCTCCTTAGTTCTCATACTCAAGGTCCTTTGAATTTATTCTAACTAATAAGCCCAAAATCCAATTGAAGTTGAAAGTCAGTTCAAGCATGTCTTGCATACTAACTATTTGGGTATTTATCAAGCCTAAGTTGTTAAAAAATATCCCGTATTTATATGCCATATTTTTAAAAGAGATACTTATTTCATTTATCCTTTATTCACAAAAAAAGTAATTTCTACTACATGACTCAGAAACGTATTCAGATTCATATATCAGACCAAAGAAATTTAGGCCTTATTAGAAGCCATTTCGGCTGTATATATATATATATATATATATATATATATATATATATATATATATATATATATATATATATATATATATATATAAGGAATGTTTGTTGATTGAATGGATGGTCTCAGCATTGTAACGCTTTTCAATCTGAATGTATATATATACACTGTAAAAGCTCTTGTTTTACCGATGACACTACTGATACCACAGATTAACTCTAGCCAGACAGACAATTCAAACCAAGCAACATAAGAAGGCCATGCTACTGTCTTGTCTTAGAAAAATCGTCTCATTAAGTCTTCTCCTACATTATCTCGTATTAGAGTTAGGAAGTTGAAATTCCTCTTTTGGCCAAATACTGTATATACTAATTCGAAAGGTATCAGTAACAGTTTGATAATGACATCTAAATAGATTAACCAAAAAGAAAACACTTTATTTCTATCATTATTACTTTAATAATGTATCCTATCACTGAAGTAAAACTTAGGTAACACGAACAGGTTGAGTTTGTACCCTGTTTTATTCCTTTTTTTTAAATGATATGTTTAAATTGAGCTAACATGGAGGCATAGAAATCATTCACCATGAAAGTGAACAATCGATAACCGGAAAAATGTTTTCTTATCGTACACTTGAATTATTCGAAGTATATTATGTATTACTTACGCCTGTTACTCCCAGTAAAGCATAGGCCGCTGACCAGCATTGATTGATAGAGACGACTGTAAATTGTCATAGTTTTTTTCTTCTGTAAAAGTATTCTCTTTGTCTTT